AAATTTTGCAATAATCTTGCGCCACCCTTGCACAAAACGACGATAATTTTTCTAATTTCATAGACAACAGAAGACTGTATTTTTTCTACATAACCCCCCTCTGAATTTAAAGCTGGATCCGCCCCTGTTTAAGACGTCCGTCGTTTCTGCTTCTATGTATTTGGAGGTTAGGAACTTGTGACAAAACTTAAGCAGTAAAAGACAGTCCGTGAGTTTCTCAATCGGAAAGCTACTAATGATTATTCCGATACTTTAATGCGTTTCCAAGATATCAGGGAAAATCTCCAATAATTCAACAAAAGTGGGGCTAAACCTTTGCAGGTTGGGAATTTCGGGACTGAGCTGATGAGGCAAATATAGGACCCGAAACGCCCTATCGAAATAGTTCTTATAAATATAAATAGTCGCATTTTTGTGCAAAAATAAATGGTGGAAAAGCGAATTTCAAGTGTTAGTGGTTTTTGAAAAAAAATTATGATCGAAACAATTTGTTTATCATTGAAGCTGCTTTTAGGCGATTTTTGAGGTAAAACACCAAAAAACGAGAAATTCAGTTTCGAAGTTAACCGGCAGAATTTTTAACGGTTGGGCCGAGTGCGGTCCTGTCGGAACACGACAACGCCGCCATCTGGCCTCGGTCAACAAACTACAGCGAACCGATCAGGGAACAAAAACCGATCGGAATCGCAAATGGCTGTTTGCGGTGTGACCTCTATAAGTTGAGTCGATATTTTGCAGAATTAACAAAAACGACGGCAAATCGGTGCGTGGCGTGCTTCGATCCCCATCCATCCGTCAGTTTCACAGCGTAAAATGCCCGAAAACACCGTATTTTCACGTTAAATCGCTACTTTGTGCGGGTGTGGCCCTTCCATCAGATAAACAAAATTAGTCATCGGAGGTGGCGTGGCCCCACTCCCGGGACCTTTTTGACAGTTGCCCACTAAATCGAACGAATAATGTCAACAGTGTAGTGTGTGTAACCGATTTTGAATAAAAATGAGCTCGAATAACGTAAATACGACGGTTCCCACCACTCAAGTAACCGCCACTATCAAGAGCCGTCCGAACATCATGCCCAGCAGTTACATGTACACTTCGAGCAGCGCACTTTTGAACCGAAACACCGACAACAAACCCACACCGCCGCCCACACTGCCCAAATACACATCCAGCTTTAATGCAGGCAGTGGTCTGAACCGCGAAAGGGACAAGGACTCGATTGGGGGCTCCTACAGGCTCTCCAGCCTGGACCGGCTCGCGATGCGCCAGAAATTCATGGATCAACAGCAGCAGCAGAGCCCCACTAATGGGGCCACGCAGCCCCAAATCAATGGCGACACCAACAGTGTCTCCAGTCTACAGAACAAGAGGGAAATGTTCTTTTCCAGCTCTGGTAAGTCTAGGATTGGCGTTGGTAAATCGAGTGTTGGGGGCCCTGGGCTGCGATGCTGAAACTTTGCTCAGTTGAAAGGGAATTTGGGTGGCAACAGCTTTCCCAGGTAAGAAGGGATGTTGCCAAAGTCGAGTGAAAGCAGCGACTCAGCAAGACCCTCTAAGAAAAGTTGGGGCCACCCGAGTTTCCTTCACTGTGAGCAAGTTTTCAATGGCCTGATGCTGAACACAACTGCCCCCAAACCAATGAAAACATCGCAAAGCTCAAAACTCGTTTATTTGCAGCCACCGCAGGTGCAGAGCCCCACAACAAGGACACGAACCGCCTGAACAAAACGCCGAGTACGGAAAAACCTGCGGTTCCTGAACGCAAGGAGACTGTGAGCGAGGGCAGCCACGCAAAGGACCCCAAAGAAGAGTCGAGCAAAGAATCTAGTCCGGAAATAGTGAAGGAGCGGCCCAGAGTGAAGGAGCTGGACGGATATGTGGGCTTCGCCAACTTGCCCAATCAAGTCTACCGGAAGGCGGTGAAAAAGGGCTTCGAGTTCACCCTGATGGTGGTGGGCGAGTCCGGCCTGGGCAAAAGCACGCTGATCAACTCGATGTTTTTGACGGAAATTTACAATGCGGCCGACTATCCAGGGCCGACGCAGCGCCTGAAGAAGACCGTCGCGGTCGAAACGACGCGAGTAATGCTCAAGGAGAACGGAGTGAACCTGCTGCTCACCATGGTGGATACCCCGGGATTTGGGGACGCTGTGGACAACAGCAACTGTTGGGCGCCAATCATCGAGTTCATCGAGAGCAAGTACGAAGACTATCTGAACTCGGAGGCGCGAGTGACGCGCAAAGTGTCCCCGGACTATCGGGTGCATTGCTGTCTCTATTTCATCCAGCCGTCTGGACACGGACTCAAGTCCCTCGACATCGAGTTCATGAAAAGACTGTGCGACAAAGTGAACATTATTCCTGTTATTGCCAAAGCCGATACGCTCACGTCGGAAGAGTGCGCGCTGTTCAAGAAGCAGATCATGACCGAGATTGCGTTGCATAAAATCAAAATCTACGAGTTCCCTGAGACGTGCGAAGAGGACGAGGAACACAAGCTCAACAAGTCCCTGAAGGAGCGCGTCCCGTTTGCAGTTGTGGGCTCGAATGCGGTGATTGAAGCCGATGGTGAGTGAATCGAGTGTGGTTTACATCGCATTTTCAACGCGGATTATTTGCAGGGAAAAAGACGCGAGGCAGGCGCTACCCATGGGGGATCGCCGAGGTGGAAAATCTGGAACACTGCGACTTTCTGGCGCTGCGCAACATGGTGATCCGCACGCATCTGCAGGACTTGAAGGACGTCACCAACAACGTCCACTATGAAAACTACCGCTGCCGCAAGCTGGCAGGACTGGGGGCCGATGGGAAGCCTTCCAGGATCTCCAACAAGAACCCGCTGGCCCAAATGGACGAGGAAAAGCGGGAGCACGACGCCAAAATGAAGAAAATGGAGATGGAAATGGAGCAGGTCGGTGCCCACACTCTTAACAAAATGTCCAATTTTCAACCTTTCTTTTGCTTCAGGTGTTTGAAATGAAGGTGCGCGAAAAGAAGCAGAAGCTCAAAGACTCAGAGAGCGAGCTGACCAGGCGTCACGAGGCCACGAAGAAGCAGCTGGAGCAGCAGGCCAAAGAGCTGGAGGAGAAGCGGCGCCAGTTCGAAATGGAGAAAGAGAGCTGGGAGAAGGAGAACCAGGTAACTATTGAAGACTTGCGCCGCCGCAGCCTGGAGGGCTCCAGGGAGACCGTCGACGGCAAGAAGGAGAAGAAGAAGAAGGGCCTGTTCTAGGCCGGCAAGCGAACCAGGACAGTCAAGTTGTATAAATATTCCTCTCAATATCGTGTATTTATTATATTGGCAACATACTGCTAGGACTTGAGGACTCTGCCTGAGGTGCACCGCCACCTTTCCTCCAGCTTCGTAATTTAAGATTTTATATTATATTAATTGTGTAATTTGGGATCACTGCATAGCGAATCCTGGAAATATATCTCGTCGTAACTAGTTGAAAAGGCTGCTGGTTTTACTGGTTTTTTGTGGACAAGCTGATTCCCTATTTTGGTTAACTTTTTGTTAGTCACTTCGACTGTTCGTTTACCAATGATTCACACATTCCTATTTTGTACTTTTCTACTTTCGCCTAGAGGTAATGAAATTAAACTGCCACAAACCACCGATGATAGTCTAGATTAAGTAGCGTCGTTCAGCATTTAAAATTAAGAATGTTTGTATGTAAAGGCCATGAACTACTATTGATGGGCCTTAATCGAATCATAATCAATAATAATGCGATTACAGCCTTGATTTAGGACTTTAGGCTTGTTTGGCCTCATGAGACAGACTTAATCTGTTTGTGCCATTGCAGTACCATTTTTTAGACGGAAAAGACGCTGAATTGTTGTAAAATAGATTTAAAGCAGATTTCTAAATATATTTATTTTTAATTTCTGTACTTTGTAGTGTTTTTTAAGGGGCTTTCGAGGCTGCAAGTTGAAAATAATGCGGGTTTCGGTTAATTTAGCACGCCAACAATGGAGGGTTTTCCGTTAGTTGCACGGTCCTCTACAAGGGAGCGGCTAAAAGGATTGTCTTGTTCGTTAACTGGTTTGTCAGCGGTTTTTCGCGTATTTTGTATAGAAGCGGCGTAAGTGAAGCTTTCACTTCCTATACGAGAAAAAATGTTAGGTCTGCTACTTGCTTTAGTTTGGAAGATGTGAATTTTTAAAAGGAAAGTTGGGTAAAAACATCAACTTTGAGACCGATTTTTAATGAGATGGCAAAAATCAGTCTTTCTAGCTTTTCTTGTAGGAGTTGCAGCATCTTTAGAGTGAACTGTCTTTCAAAAATGGTGAAAATTTCAAATTGCTGCTTACTTTACTTTCGAAGGTGCGATTTTTTAAATGAGAGGGTGCAGTTGGGTAAAAACATCCATTTTGAGACCGACACTAACTAAGCTTGCAAAAAGCAGGATTTTGAGCCGATGTTGATGGAACTTTCAGCATCTTCAGATTCAACTGTCTTCTAAATATTTTGAAAATTTCAAGTCCCTACTTGCTTTAGTTTGGAAGATGAGATTTTTTAAATGAGGGTGCAGTTGGGTAAAAACATCCATTTTGAGACCGACACTAACTAAACTTGTAAAAAGCAGGATTATTTTGAGCCGATGTTGAAACTTTCAGCATCTTCAGACTCAACTGTCTTCTACCGATTTTGAAAATTTCAAGTCCCTACTTGCTTTAGTTTGGAAGATGCGATTTTTTAAATGAGAGGGTGCAGTTGGGTAAAAACATCAATTTTGAGACCGACACTAACTAAGCTTGCAAAAGCAGGATTTTGAGCCGATGTTGATGAAACTTTCGGCATGTTCAGATTCAAATGTCTTCTAAAGATTTTGAAAATTTCAAGAAAAAAATGTTAGGTTTGCTACTTGCTTTAGTTTGGAAGATGTGAATTTTTAAAAGGAAAGAGCGCTGTTGGGTAAAAAGATCAAATTTGAGACCGATTTTTAATGAGATGGCAAAAATCAGTCTTTCTAGCTTTTCTCGTAGGAGTTGCAGCATCTTTAGAGCGAAGTGTCTTTCAAAAATGGTAACAATTTCAAATTGCTGCTTACTTTACTTTCGAAGATGCGATTTTTTAAATGAGAGGGTGCAGTTGGGTAAAAACATCAATTTTGAGACCCACACTAACTAAGCTTGCAAAATGCAGTATTGTGAGCCCATGTCGATGAAACTTTCAGCATCTTCAGATTCAGCTGTCTTCTAAAGATTTTGAAAATTTCAAGTCCCTACTTGCTTTAGTTTGGAAGATGCGATTTTTTAAATGAGAGGGTGCAGTTGGGTAAAAACATCAATTTTGAGATCGACACTAACTAAGCTTGCAAAAAGCAGGATTTTGAGTCGATGTTGATGAAACTTTCAGCATCTTCAGATTCAACTGTCTTCTAAATATTTTGAAAATTTCAAGTCCCTACTTGCTTTAGTTTGGAAGATGAGATTTTTTAAATCAGAGGGCGCAGTTGGGAAAAAACATCCATTTTGTTAGAACATTAGACCGACAATAACTAAGCTTGCAAAAAGCAGGATTTTGAGTCGATGTTGATGAAACTTTGAGCATCTTCCGAGTCAACTGTCGTCTAAAGATGGTGAAAATTTCAAGTTCCTACTTGCTTTAGTTTGGACGATATGAATTTTTAAATGAGGAAGCGCAATTGGGTAAACGCCTCCATCGACGTGTGTCGTGCCCGAAGGGTTCGGCACAAAAAACGCATTAAAGAGCGTTTTTGGAGCAAAAAAGCCTAAATTCACACCGGTAGGTAAATTTTCGAATGTTTTGCGAGTCAAAACCAGCATCAGGCAACAATATTGACTTGAATCATTTGCTGTTATCGGTCGATTACATTTAAACCCACAAAACCAACAAACACTGATAAGGCGCATTGTTACTGAGAAATTTCGCAATCCCAGAGACTGATTTAAATTGATTTTTTTTTGCACAACCGTTCACATTGCAAAAAGCAAAACTGTGGAAATTGTTGCTCCGGCCCATGGGTGTTTACCATTAAAATGAGGAATAATCGGTGCCATTATCGGCATTGTTTTCATCGTTTACACGACCTCAGCTGCCCATGCAAACAATGCAATCTTGCAACGAAGAGATACGGATTAATTAATATTTAATTTTGGGCCCACTGCTATCTGAAGGAAGCATGAAATGTGAAAGGTTTTTGCGGTTTTTCGTCTTGCGATATTCAATTTGTCGGGTGATTGATTCAATGTTCAACTTTTCCTAGTCCTTGTCAATTAAATTCGCGTTAAAGTATCAGGATTTTGCATAAATAAAACGGTTTTTCCTAAGGAAAAGTGTTGCCTTTAGGATTCTTCAAAACAACATTTTTTCCGGACTTTTAGTCGCGCTTTTAATTCAAATTTTGACGCAAAATCCGCATCAATTGCTTCTACGGTACGTTTCGGTAAAGCATTCATTTGCTGAGCTGGAAAAAATGCAGGATGTTGCGCAATTTTTACGAAACTTTCGCCATATATATCAAGCAAAGTGCCTTCTAAAGATGGTCAAAATTTCAAGTTCCAGTTTGTTTTAGTTTGGAAGTTGCGAATTTTTGAATGGCAATGAGTAGTTGGGTAAAAACATCCATTTTGAGACGGATGTTTGCCAAGCTGGCAAAAAGTACCATTGAGGACCAATTTTATGAAACCTTTCCCATCTTGAGAGTCAAGTGTCTTCTGAAGATGGTGAAAATTTGAAACTGCTACTTGCTTCAGTTTGGCGTATCTGATTTTTTTAATGCGAGAGCGCAGTTGGGTAAGAGTGTCCATTTTGAGGCCGATATTTGCTAAGCTGGCAAATGGCTGGTTGCACGGCGATTTTTATGAAACTTTCGGCCGTATTTAGAGTAAACTGTCTTCTAAATATGAGCAAAATTTAAAAAACCTGCTTGGGTCAGTTTGCACAATTTCATTTTTAAAGGAAAGAGCGCACTTGTGTAGAAACATCCGGTTGCAGCCCGATATTTGATAAGCTGTGGAAATGCAAGATTCTGGTTGACTTTCATCAAACTTTGAGTGTCTTCGGAATCAAGCCTCTTCTAAAGATGGTGAAAACTTAAAAATGTTACGCGCTTGAGTTTAGAAGACGAGAAATTTTGAGGAAGAAAGCGCAGTTGCGCAAAATCATCCATTTTGAGTTCGGTTTTCGCTAAGCTAGCAAAAGGCGGAAATTCGCGCGATTCTTGTGAAATTTTCACAATCTTTAGAGTAAAGTGTCGTCTCAAAGTGTAACTAATTTCAAGCTCCTGCTTGCTTCAGTTTAGAACACTCGAATGTTTAAGTGAGAGAGCGCAGTTCGGTAAAAGCATCTATTTTGAGACCGATATCTACCAAATTCGCAAAGTGCAGGATCTCGGGGGATTTTCACCAAATTTTGACCATATTTAGAGACACATGTGTTCTCAGGATGGTGAAAATTTCAAGTTCCTATCTGCTTTAGTTTGGAAGATGGAAATTTTTCAGTAAGAAAACGCAGTTGCAAATAATGATCAATTTTGAGATCGATATTTACTAAGCAGTTAAAAAGCAGCAACTCAAGCGATTTCCATAAAAACTGCACAATCGTTAGTCTAAAATGTCTTCTGATGATGGTAAAAATTTCAAGTCGCTGCTTGATTCAGCTTCAGAAAGTAGAATTTTTAAATGAAACAGCGGACGTCAGTTAAAGTATCTATTTTTAGACCGTTTTTTGGTAAATTGGCAAAATGCTGACTTTCGGGCGATTTTGACCAAATTTTTACCATATTTAAGAGCATGTGTCGCCTAAACACTGTGAAATTTTCAAGTTGCTACTTGCTTTAGTTTAGAAGATGGGAATATTTAAATGACATCTATATTTTAATGGACATCAGTGTCGTGCCCGAAAGGCTCGGCACAACTTCGACATTAAACACTCTCTAATACGAGCAGAAATTGATCTGATGGTGGTTGGAGAACCGAAACCCTCGTATGAAGCAACTGATGCGTGTAAAGTCGACTGAAAACCGCCGCAAATTTGAAAAACCCACATTTTTCCTATCTCTAAACAATCCTCCAACTAGCACTCACCTTTCGCACATACGAGGCCTGAGGATGATGTTTCACCGGCATGAAAAAGAGCCGCAGCCGATCGAACAGCTGAATCCCATCGGTGGAAGCCACGCCCATATACAGGAAGATGCCGAAAAGGACGGCCATGGGCACCTGCCTCAGCAGAGGCGACATAAACACGGACAGACCTGCCAATCAAACACAAACTAGCTTCTAAGCTCCTCCCCTTTCCACGCAGCCTACCAATCAGAGTGGCCACCACAAAGCTGGAGAGACGTTGCTCCTTCACTTCCACCAGATGGGGTTTTTCACCAGGGGCGTGCGTTCGGGACATAACAGTCAAAGCACTGGCGTGCGCAATGCTGCGCACAGTGGCGGCGCACATCCAAGGCATGCCAAAGAAGCCGCAACCTACGTTGGTGAGGCAAATCAGCACGATGTCCAAGTGAAAGCCGGCGCCTTTCTGGAGTTTGCGTTCCTTTTTGTCCAGAATTAGTCTGCAAATGGGGATTAAGTCAGCACCCGGTTGAGGTTCGTTTTGGGGCAACTTACTCGCAAATGTGCGTCTCCATGAACAGTAAAATGTAGACCAACATGGCAGGAACAACGGCCGCGAACATCACCCACACTGGCGGTGGCGATTTGAAGCCGTTGGGCGGGATGAACCAGCCTCTAAGTGTGGTGTTCGAGGGCGAGAGGCCTTTGGGAACATTGAGCTTTTCTGTGAAGATCTCTGGAAGCATAAAGTCCATGAACACCATGCAGATTATTGCTATTGGAACGCCGAAGTCCCCAAGCGCTCTACGGGCCTACGAAGAAACTCTGTAAAACTCCCCCGAAAGCCAGCCATCAACCCTACCGATCGGCCCAGAAAGTGACTGTTGCGGAATATTTTCAGATAGTACGCAATGGCGAAAGTCCCCAGCGTCAGAATTGTGCAGAACAGGGCGGTGTTCGGTTGATTGATCCGGCCGCTACTGTCCAGCGTAGGCACCTTTTCCAGGTACGTCACTGGAATGAGCACATCAGTTATGTTGATGTTGGGGTTCTCGGTGATCAGGGTATCATTTTCAGTGGCGTTCCTGCAAAAAAACCATCCCCTCATCCATTAGAGCCCAGTTTCCCTTGGCCAGCGCCTACCTGAAGACAGTGATTTCGGTCTCGCAATAATCGCCCAAGATCGGATGCTTGTCGTAGACGAAAAAGATCTTCTGGATGCTTTCGATTATGTACAAGAAGACGATCAAGGCCGAGAAAATATCCTCGGTAAATCTGGAGAACAATTTCACTAGAACGCTGCCTTCGAATGCGGCCACTATGATCCCGATTATGGCCAACCATAGGCCGATGTAGACGCGAATGGTCAAGAACTCGAAGCCTTGCGATTGGCAGAACTGATACAGGCTTTCGTCGAATAGCAACAGTGGACCTGCAACAAAAAACACCCAGTAGAAGGACACCGATTAATCAACCTGGTGGGTTCAGTTTTGTGGACGTTTCGTTGGTGTGCGTGGCGGGCATCTTCAGGGGTGGTTTGCTCGAGGGCTTATCTGGCACTGCCAAGCAACCACGTGGAATCGCGATCGAGGATTCTTTCAAAAGTGCTTGCTCTTGAAGGTTTTTTCTGGTTTGAAAACTGTGAGGTATTTATGAAAGGCTGGCATCACTGAAGCATTGAAACAGCATGATAGTTTTCCAAAAAGTTTTCGAATTGATTCAGTCAAGAGTCGTCTAAAGACGGGGGAAATTCCACATGCGGACCAACTTTGGTTTGGAGGATGCGAATTCCTTAAAGGGAGAGCACCGTTGGGCAAAAACGGCCATTTTCAGACCCGTTTTAGCCTAGCTGATCAAAATCAAGGTTACCGGCGATTTTTGCGGTACTTCCAGCATCTGTAGACTCGAGTGTCATCTACAGATGGTGAAAGTTTCACATGGTTACTGGATTTGGTTCGCAAAAGACGATTTTTTCGAGAGAAGCGCACAGTTGGGCAAAAGCAAACATTTTGAGCCCCATATTCAGTAAACTGGCATCAGTTTTTGGATTTTTTTTAAGCTTTCCCTCCTCCACAGTCAAGTATCTTCTAAAGATGGTGAAGATGTCAAAATGCTGCATGCTTTAGATGAAAAGCTGTAAACTTTTACATAAAAGAGCGCAGTTGAGTGAAAGCATTCATTTTGAGACCGATATTCACTAAGCTGGAAAACAGCAGGATTTCCCCCGATTTTCATCAAAATTTCTGTGTTTTTAGACTCAGCTGTCTTTTAAAGATGGTGCAAATTTCAGGTTTCTGTTTGCTTTGTTCGCTTCTTTATTTTGAAAAATGTGAACTTTTAAAGGAAAGAGCACACTTGGGCAAAAACACTCATTTTAAGACGTTAAGATATTAACCAAGCTTGCAAATGCAGGATTTTGTCCGATTTTTATGAAGGTTTCAGAATGCTTGGAGCAAAGTGTCGTCCGAAAATTGGTAAGAATTTGAAGCCCCTGCTTACCCCAGTTCGGAAGCTTTGAATTTTTAAATGAGAGAGTACAGTTGGGTAAAAATAATTCATTTTGAACCAATATTTGGCAATTTGTCAAGAGGGAGGATTTCGGGGGATTTTTACGGAAGTTCTGCCACTTTTAGGGCCCAGTGTGTTCTCAAGCCGGTGAAAATTTCAAGTCCCTCCTCGTTTTAGTTTGGAAGAGAGGAATTTTAAAGAAGAGGGTGGGAAACCTAAAAATCAGCCATTTTCAGACCGATATCCAGTAAGCGAGCAAAATGCAGAAATTAGGGCGATTTTTATGAAACTTTTACCATCTTTAGAGTGGAGTGTAGTTTAAAGACAGGAAAATTTTCAGGAGCCTCCTTGCCTCATTTTCGAAGATTTGAATTTTTAAACGAAAGAGCACACGTGCGTAAAACCACACATTTTGAGACCGATATTTCTTAAACTGTCACAAAACGGAATTTCCGGTAATTTTAATAAAATGTTCACTATGGTTCAGGGAAAGTGTGTTCTAAAGACAGTAGAAAATTTCAAGTCCCTACTTGGTTTAGTTAGGAAACTAGGAATGTTTAAAAAAGAGGGCGCAAATGCGAAAAATCAGCTATTTTGGACCGATTTCCAGTAAGCGAGCAAAGGGTAGAAATTAGGACGATTCTTATGAAATTTTTAGCATCTTTACAGTGGAGTTTTGGTTCAAGACTGGAAAAATTTCAGAAGCGTGCCTGCTTGATTTTGGAAGCTTTCAATTTTTAAACGAGACAGCGCAGTTTCGTAAAAGCATCTGTTTTGAGACCGATATCTACAAAATTCGCAAAGTGCAGGATCTCGGGGGATTTTCACCAAATTTTTACCATAAATAGAGACACATGTGTTCTCAGGACGGTGAAAATTTTCTAAAAACAGTGAAAATTTCAGCTTCTGCCTTCTTCTGGTGTGCAAGCTACGACTTTTTAAAGAAGAGGGCGCAATTGCAAAAAATCAGTCATTTTGAGTCCGATATCCAGTAAGCGAGCAAAACGCAGAAATTAGGTAAATTTTTATGAAACTTTCACGGTCTTTAGATTGAGGTATCGTTTAAAGACTGAAAAAATTTCAGAAGCCTCCTTGCCTCATTTTGGAAGGTTTGAATTTTTGAACGAGACAGCACAGTTGCGTAAAACCGTATATTTTGAGACCGATATTTTGCTATATCGTCAAAAAGCAGGATTTCCAGCCAGCTCCATGAAAATTTCCCTCAAGTTTGCGGCAAGTGTGTTTTAAAGACAGTGAAAATTTCAGGTCCTTGCTTCTTCTAGTTGGCAAGCTAGGAATTTTTAAAGAAGAGGGCGCAATTGCAAAAAAATAGCCTTTTTGAGACCAATTTTCACTAAGCTATGCAAAGGCCCGGATCAAGGGGATTCTTATAAAATTCTCCCCATCTTCCGAATGGAATGTTCGTGATCGATTGTAACAATTTCAAGAGTCCGCTTGCTTCAGTTTGGAAGATTGGAACTTTTCAATGAGAGAGCGCAGTTCGGTTAAAGGCTCTATTTTGAGACCGATATTCACTAAGCTCGCAAAATGCAGGTGTTTAGGCGATTTCCATAACATTTTCACTGGGTGTACAGTGAGGTGTCTTCTAATTATTGTCAAAATTTGGAGACTGCGTGTCCCAGTTTGGAAGATGTGAATTTTCGCCGAAGAGTGGACAGTTGCGAAAAATCATTTACTCTGAGACGACTATTCACTAAGCTGGCAAAAGGCAGAATTTCCGGATAATTTATCGAGACTTAAACGATCTTTGGAGGCAAGTACCGGTTAAAGAGGGTGAAAATGTCAAGCTCCTACTTATTCTGGATTGGAAGATGGGATTTTTAAAGTAAAACCAGTCGTTTCAATTGGTTCGAACTCCGCGCGCCAAAAACGGCCATAATTTCGATACAAAAGAACGCCCACAAGGAATACTGCTGCGTGCCAATACTTCAGTGCTTTCACCACACCAGTCCAGCAGAATGCTGCGCGCAGACCACCTCTGAAGATGCCGGGCACTCCCCCAAGCGAAACGTCCCCAAGAAACCCCCAAACAAACCTACCTGTCGTCCCTACAATAATCAAAGGCTGACCGCAAAACATCGCAAACAAAATTCCAGCCAAACAGGTGGCCATCAGAGTCTCGCTAATGCCGATCTGGCCCTCCGTTTTGATGCCCATCAGCCCTCCAAAGGCGATCGCCCCGCTAACTGCAGCAAAATACATGAAAATGGCAGCGGCCGCACATTGAGCATTTAGGCCGTCGGTGATGTCGCTCACATAGTGCGGATAGCGACGTTTCAGGTCGTTTATCAGCCCTCCCCAGGGCCGTTTAGTGCGCTCCAATGGATTGGGGAATGGTGGCTTCTTGTCGCCCCCGTCACTCACTAGGGCGGCTTTTGGAATTCCTGCAACACTCAAAAACATTAGCATGATCCAGGCCAGCGTAAGGTGGAAGGTAGCGCAGGCTCACCTCGTGCCTCCTGCTCCTTCTCCAAGGCATTCAGCTTCCTCAGCTTAATAGCGTCGCTCTTTGCTTTGATCTCCTCAATGGGGAGCAGCGCCTGCCGCTCCCAGTCGCCAGGGGGCAGCACGATACTGTCGTCCAGGAACTCATTGATGGCTGAGAGCAGCTCGTTCCTCGAGTCCGCCTTGTAGGCAATGTTGTGGAACTGCTGGTTGGCCATCAGGGTCGATATGGAGCGACCCACCTAAATCCCCAGCCATTTAGTGCCACTTCCGCCAAATCCCCAGCCGAACTCACCTCATGGTAGTCAATGGTGGGCAACTTGGGGCCCAAGAGGATGAAGATAAACCGCACCGGAATGTTGACTTCAATGAGCGACGGAATCACTATAGGCTCGGCCAATCGCACAAAAGCTATGGCCGGCTGTTCCAGGAAGTCCACATCTCCCACCAGCACACTGGCCCCTTGCGCCTCCGGAGGGATTTTCTTCAAAATTGCATCGTTGCGCGCCCTGCGGATGTCCTCATTCGATGTGGAGTAGAAGTCCTCCTTTATCTCCACAGTGTGCGAGTCAACCGGCAGGAGTTTGATCTCGGCGTCCCCGTTCTTCAGCCCGTTCTCTGGGTAGCTGATTTTGCGCTTTTCTGCATCGTAGAGGTTCTAGAATCAAACAGACCTCCATCAGAACGGGCATGGGAAGTGGACCTTTGCGCCACTTGGAGCCTCATGAAGAGCGTGCGGTCAACACTACTGGAGGTTTGCTACAAGCACAGGCTTTGGCGCAAAAAATGGGTTTCGGACCTATTGGTCCTCAACAGCTGATGAAGGCTAATAGGTCCGAAACCAGTTCACGGAACCGTTCACCTGCACTTGTACTACTTGAGTGGTTAAGAAAGGTGCTGAAAATGTTAGTTAGTTGACTCAATATGGACTAGATGATGGCTGAAGGTTGCAGTATGAAGAAGCTGATCTATCAAGTTCAACTAGAGCGTCGTGCCCATTCGAGCTTCATTCTACTTGGACTCTAGAGGAGGAAAACCACTACTGATGAATGTGAATGGATTAGTGAAGACTAAATAGATCGGATTGAGTCTCAACCAAAAAAAATGCCCTCGTCTCCAGTAAAAAACATTACGTTCAATCAACATCTGCAGAGCTGGCTGGGAGTCCAAGTCGACGTCGGTTTTTGGTCACACTGGGACGTCAACTAGACGTGTTTTGACCCGAGTTTATCGAGTCAGTTTGCCCGAAAATAGACTTAGATTAAATCATGTCATTTCAGGTGACCGTCTAGTAGGCGTTTGATTGACGACGACGATTAAGCAAAGACGCAAAAAGACACACGTGAAAGATAAAAAGTTCTCAATTTTGATGTGAACCAGACAGCAGAATAATGCCAATGTCGATATAAAAAACGATCACAAAAAATTCAAGCACTTGGTAGTACTTGAAGCGCCCACTTTGAAGCACTTTTGGTCCAAATTCCACCCAGCTCTGCCGAAGTGATTGAATTTTGTGTCTAGTGCGTGAAAATGCCCCATTGCCAAATTTGCCCACAAAACCAGCAGCTGGGGACAAACCCAACCAATTCTGGCATTGAAACTAAAACGTTTACTGAGAAAACGCGTTCAGTTGCTAGCGTTCGATTAACCGCCCGATAAATTTGGCAACAATACACTAATGAACAAACGAAACCCGATCCAATCAAAACAAAGCCAGACGAAGACAAAAAACTCTCAAAAAAACAACAACAAAACCAGACGCTAACAGAGGGCGAAGAAGAATATACAGCAGAACAATCAGGATCGATTTCAGGGCCTAATTTCGTGTATATTCTTCCACTTTAAAGGTCGAAGAGTTTAACAACTAGATGATTGATGCGCATCACGCCAAACTACATGAGCAAACTGCACCCACATGCGGGCCGAATCCAATCAGGGAAAAGGAGCGACCTTTGACGGCTGCATGGTCCGCGCAGATTTTTCCCTGCGCAGAACAAACGGAACAGCGCATCATCATGGCTGCGTCGAATCGGGCACTCTCATCGATCCAATAGGACTGAAATGAAACGGTCTGCTTATCCAGGAAATTTTTTATTCAAGTTATGTGCTCCTCGATGGCCAACCAAACGCTGGAAATTCTCCAAATTCACCGTCTTTCTTAAGGTCAAGGGCGGATCCAGCTTTAAATTCAGGGGGGGGAGTTATGTAGAAAAAAATACAGACTTCTGTTGTCTATGAAATTAGAAAAATGATCGTCGTTTTGTGCAAAGGTGGCGCAAGATTATTGCAAAATTTCATGTTTTCCGTCCCATTTTGCATGTTTCTCGGAAGCAAAAT